GTCAAGGCTGAGCTCTATCCGCTGTGGGTTTAGGGTGATAGCCTTCTTTGGTGACAGCTTCAAGTTTCCAGCAGGTGAGCTGCTTATCAGCTCCCATCAGCCGCTAGGCAGGCTGGGCCCCTAGCCACTGGGGTGGCCTCCGGCTGGTGTTTACACTGTCCATGTGCCACGATTTGGAAAGGTCGGGGGCGTGCCGAGCCCAGAGAGCGTGGCCCCGTCACCACAAGCCCGTCTGGTCAGACACAGACGTGGCCTTCCAATTCAATCCCCAAAGGTGCCAAGGGAACCTGGCATTGTATAGTCGGTCTAATGGACTTCACTGCACTCACACTTGCTGAGGAAACCAGGAAGTCGGGTCACTTACAGCCTGAGGACTTCCTCTTCAGACACTTTGTCTCCCAAAAAGAAAAAGAAGGAAGGTGCAGGAGACACCCCCGGGGAACAAGGCACAGCCCACAGTGCTGGGCCGCAGAGAGGGGCTACCTGGCCTCCACTCACCACTGCCTCCTCCGGACACCATGATGGGGGCTTTCCTCCTCCTATCCTGAAAAGCACACTCCCCTCCACTTCCATAAATTTGTGAAGCTTGAAAAGAGCCCAGTGTCATCGACAAAAAGAGCCGGCTTTGGGAGTCTCACTGGAAGGAGGGGTATCTTCAAGCGCTTGCTGCTAAGCCGGACATTTCCTAACACTGGACAAATTGTACGTCCAGCACAGGAGGGTGAGCGCAGTGGTCTTTTACCCTCCAAGCCAATTGTTAGCTTTTCACAGGAATCAGCAGGGAAGCACATGTGAACCTCTGTGTGCCGGGGCGCACCCCCAAGCCTTGTGTGACTCTGCATGTAGATGAAGCGGCCCGGAGCTTTCTGAGCTGCGGCTGCTGCGTTCTCAGAGAAGCCCTTTTCTCCTGTGTGGCTCCCTGCTGGGCCAGCCCTTTTCAATTTCTCTATCCCCCTCGATCTCTTCTGCTGCACAACACAGGGAAACTGGACTGAAATAAAGACCTAGGGAACATGTTTTATTTTCTCCTGCTCAATCCATTTTAGAAAAGCTTTTAATTGGTTTTAAAAAGATGCTAAACAAAATGTGATGATGTTTCTCAGTCGTCACAAACCACAGATACCACTTTTTATGTTTTCAAAGGTCTAATAAATCAATCATGAAATTAACTCTACGGCTAAATTTAAGACAAATCCACTGAATACCAGGTTCACTAAAAATCTATGCATTTACTTAGAAAAAAATTAAAATTCAAAGAAAATTATCCTAGTAACTGAAATCTGACTTGAATTTTTAGTTCTACGCTGAAAATCCAAGACCAAGGCAACACAAAGGGAGAAAGGAGGGCTTGGGAACCAGGTCTAATAAGCCCGTTTGCAGGGGCGGGGGTGTGGGGGAGGGGCAGAAGAGAAAGGGGGTATCTGGAGCTGGACAACATAATGCCCCCAAAGGGATGCTTTTATTTGAGCATGTGCACACACGCACACACACTTTGGCTGTGGGAAAGCTGCAATGACAACAAATGCAAAATTTAGGACTCTGACTGATAACGACAGTTGCACTGCATGCAGTCACAGCTCTTCCTTTGAAGGAAACACGCCCACAACTTTTCTGTCTTCTTTTTCTCACCAGCGATAAGCAGTGACCACCAGTCTATGCATCTTGACACACTCAGGTGCACAGACTTTAAATATTTAATTGAAAACATCTGAAAAGCCTACACGATAATGGTTTGGTGAGGTGAGCGCTTCCACTCTGGGATAACAAATACTCTTGACACCTAGCCAGTTTGAGAGTGTCCCCTTATTTTCTTGAGAGAATGTGAACTAATTTAAAAAAGTAAGGCGACCCGGACAAAGCCTATCTTTATTTTGTGAGATATATGCCAACCAGAAATGTCGCAAGCATTCATTCCTCCTGCCTCTGACCGACTGATCCAGCAGGTCACCTGGCAGTTCAGGGCAGAGTTGCCAATCCTGATCAAGGGCAGAGAACCCGCCACTTCTGGTCACTAAGGCAGCCAGACCGCTCCCTCTTACACGACACAATCCTACCTTCTTCCCCTTCAGTCCTTGGAGAAATGCATCGACCCCTCTTTAATGATCCAATTCCTGCTTCTGGGACATCGCCCTAGCAGGCCATGGCCCTCGAATGCCTCCTCCTTACTTCTAACTCGGCCCACAGGTTTCCTTTCCTCATGTAAGTGGATTCTGAGATCGCTTTTTAAACACGGAAACACTTTCGTGAGATGATTTTCAGTGCACACAGTTTACCCACTTACCAAGGACAATGGAGTGGTTTGGGTATATCCACAGACATGTGCAGCCATCACCAAAATCAATGTGAGGACAGTTTCATCACCCCCAGGAGCAGTCCTCTAGTCACCGGCCGTCAATCCCATCCCTCAATCTCTCCAGCCCCTGGCAACTGCTAATATGGTTTCTGTTTTTCTAGATTTGCCAATTCTGGACACTTGCTGTAGCTGGAATCATACAACACCTAGCCCTCTGTGACTGGTTTCTTTTGCTTGGCATGTTTCAAGGTTCATCCATGTTGTAGTATGTTCAAACACGATTCGATTATAATGGACACACCAGATTTTATCTGGGGTCATTTGGCTGTGAATCACACTACTGTGAACATTCATGGGCAAGCTGGCGTGCAGACCTCTGTCTTCACTTCTTTTAGGTGTACACTTAGGATTGGATTTGCTGGTAACTGAACGTTTAAACTTCTGAGGAACTGTTAAAGACTGTCTTCCAAAAGTTACACGATTTTCACACTCTCCCCAGCAGTGTATACGGTTCCAATCTCTCCACATCCTCATCAACACTTGTTATTGTCAGACTTTTTGATTCCAGTCATTCCAGTGGTGTGAAGTGAATGGTACCTCACTGTGCTGGTTTTGATTTGCATCTTCCTGATGACCAATGATATTGTGTATTCATGTAGTATTGGCCATTTGAACTTATTTATTTCTCAATGTTTTCACTCTAATCATACTCTAAATATAAACCTCAGCAATGCTAAAACACTTAAGCACACTAAAATGAGAAGACACTTAAAAAATCTATTTTTCGTTGCTGAATAAGCTACTTGTAAGGCAGACACGTATAAAGCACTATGCCAGATGCTATGAGACGTAAAAGCATGAGATCATGTTCCTCCCCTCAAAATGTTATCGTTACTTTCATGAAAATAGAAACAATTATTCTTAAACCTTTTATCACAATGTTGTTAATATTTTCTGTTTACTTCTGTTAGCATTTTGGATGACTAGTTCGCAGTCAAAGGGTCTATCTCTGTTTGAGTCAATGTGCACAGTATTTAACAATGTAGACAAAGAAGTATAAAACAGCACTTCCTTCTCCCAAATGACTTTTTTTTTTTTTTTTAGCAAAACAAATAAGTAGCTTTATTAAACAAAGAACAATACACTCCCCAAAAGGGATAGTGGGCAGAATCAGCCTGCAGAAGCTCCTGATTATGCCCCAACTATTGCTGAGCTATATCTTTTACTCTTAGGAGTACTGAGGGGTGGGTTTTGGGGTGGTTTTTTTTCCAGAAATAGGTGGTTTGGGGACTGGGTTACTATTACTCCTCCTTCACATCAGGTGGGGAAGTTCTAAACCTAATACTGATACTGTCAGGTGTATGATGGGAGTGGGAGGCTTCCCTAGGGTAATTTTATGTTAATAATATTATGTGAATAACAAAGGTGCCTGGCCTCAGTGGTTCAGCCTGCAATCCCAGCATCCCAAGTGACTTTTAGCACAACTTATTTTTAACCAGGAAATTGAATATTATGAGAAAAATCTAAATGCCCAGAAGTCTCCCATTCAGATAATTTTGAATATGCTGATTTAATAAAAAGACTTTTTGTATGTGTGTATGGTATATATAGGTACTGGGGAGATATGATTTATTTTTGCTTCAGAAACTTTCAATATAGTATCTGTTTTGACAAAAATATCGAAAGAATCAGAGAAGGGAAGAATATACCATACACCCTTCTCTAACTTCACCCTGAGTATAAGTGAAAAGTCTAATGATTAGGTGTGATGATTTATGAAAAGATGCCTTCAAAGACCATCCACAGTGCATATATGTAGCAAAATCTGCAATGCTGCCGTAGCTTGTGTTTCTTTTCACTACTCTAAAAGTTAAAATACATGTCTGTTACTGCAATTATTAAATTAAAAATTCGATTCACCAACATAATGTCCAATGTTGTCCTTACAGGTTCGTTTACATACATGTCTAACTTCAACCAGGCAGAATCTGAGGCGTTGAAAAAGTTGGAGTTTAACCCCTCAATGTCTACCTTTGGCTGGCATTTCACCCAGGTTACAGCACACAGTTTCAGTCAAGAGTATTTGTGTCCTGTGGCGTAGACAAGCACGCTCTGGCAGCCTCCACGTGGTCACCATATCCAGCTTTCACAGGCTGCTTTTAAACGTGTTAAACTATTAAAACCACCAGTCTCTAACAGCCACGTCAGTAAAAATGCAACCATGTGAACCAAGATCCTGGCTATAAATTCACTCAAAAATATCACATGACACAAGAGAAGTAAAGCAAGATCATCTGTAAAAATTTAAAAAAATTAAACTGCCCCAAACACAAATTTTTAGGAAAACCTAAGAAATGGTAAGCGAGATACACGAGAACTTGTGTCCACCTTTACTACGTGAGTGTCATGCTTTTGGGAGGCGATGGGCGCAGAGATGGGTAACACCGTGGAGAACTTGCAAGATAACAGAAGACAACACTCACAGAAACCGGGGGACTTCGATATCTTCAGAAAAAGAATGGAGAACTTACGTTAGAAACAGTCTACCTTAAGGTGAAGACCAGACCAGATGACCTGTCAAGAATCCCTCGAATGACACATTTTTATATGTTGATGATAATCTACCTATTTAGAGAGAGTACACCATTGTCTGCAATTTACCAAAAAAGTCTATGTTAAAATATTCTTTATTACTACTATTTTTTACCTGAGGAGGTGCCTTTTTCAGTAACACAAGAAGAGCCTGCAATACAAGATTGGAGAATCGAGGGCCAATAGGGACATAATCTGGAAGAGAAACACACTGTGTTTAGGAATTCAATACACATATACACATGTTCCAATATTCAGAGCTTTCTGCATAAGAATAAACAGCCCTAAATAATGGTCATACAACTATCTATAATAAGAAAAACATCTCCCATAACCTAAATGGTTAAAATATTATATAAGAACCTAGATCTGCACTTTTTAAAATTTTTGAGATGGAGTCTTGCTAGGTTGGTCTCAAACTCCTGGGCTCAAGCAGCCTCCTGTCTTGGCCTCCAGAGTAGCGGGATTATAGGCACATATCACTGTGCTTGGCTCTATAAGTTTTTTGAAAAAGCTTCTAAATATTCATTGAGTTAATGTAGACATTTTGTCTGAGTTTTTATAGGAACAAAAACAAAAGCCACCCCAGGTGTATTTACCAAGCATTTCTAAGAAATTACTACAAACTATGGTGATTCAGGATACTGATAATGCCAGGCAACGGTAGAGGGGAAAGTGAGTAAGTAAGGAATGTTAATAAAACCGAAGTGATGGCAGAGTCCTAAGACAGGCCCTCAGACGGCATTTCTAGAACCTTCTATGTTTCGGGCTGAAAGACTCAGCCTCTGCGTCCTCTGTCACCGCACATGCTCCCTTGTCTGTGCTTCGAGCTACCAACAGGCATCAGCCCCTGGAGTCCAAAGTGATCCTCTGCTTCTGAATGTCCAGTACACAAGGCACACTCTACTGTGCACTGATTTTTGCCCATTTGTTATACCAGACAGGCAGTATCACATTTTTCTGAGACCCTAATAATTCTACTACAGCAGTAGTAAGGGCTCAGCAAATGCAAGTTGAATAAATGAACAGTACATACAGATAATAACTGTTCATACAAGTGAAAATATTCTCAGAGGACACACATTCCTGACATCGCAGTGTTGCTACGACCACACATCTCAATTGTGTTCAGATAAAGGACTTTACACAGAGCTATAAGTATGTGCCTAAAAGCTTTAAAAGAAATAATCCCATAAACTGGGCTGAGATGTAACAAACATAGCGGACCAAAAGCCCCAGTCACTAGGTAGGACTAGCAATTTAACAAGACCTCACAGGTATACCTACTTTATAAACAAAACCGACAAAACATAAGAAAATAAATAACAGAGGGCCTATAGCAAGTCTGAAAGTCACGGGGAAATGCCGTACGAACAGTTAATCTGAAGTCAGGACTGCCCTGACATGGAAGAAGAAAGAAGGATGAATCAGGTGTCGGGCAGGACGTCAGATGTCTACTAAGTCACCAGGTGGGTTTCTAGCTCAATATCATTTATCACTCATCCTGAGCTATCATTATCCTGAATCTATGCTGGACTGGTTTAACTTTACAATGAAATAAAATGCAGAGTTGCAACACCTCTCCAGCATTCATGGTAGTCTACGTCTTAGGAGCCAAGAGCCAGGACCAAGCCTCATTCCCACTGCACTTTAGGGGCACTTCAGTAGAGGGGCTGCTTAATATGTATCTCAGAAAACTGCTCCAGAGCGCTTTTCACTCTCAAGATGTTTTCAACACTGACAACCCCACTTCTGCCTTCACAATTGCTCTGTGAGACAAGCAAAGAAGGGGTCATAGGCCCTCTTCTGCCGCCGAGCATGCACAGCTTCTGCCCCAGCCCTGGCACCTTAATGGATCCCACCTGGTCCTGACCCTTCTTTCACTAGTTCTGTTGAGTGAACAACAGGACCTTGGAGCCACAGGCAACTCGGAGGTACTTGGGAGCAAATATGTTCATCCATGAGAATGACTCATCAGTTTCAAACAGTATGAGGACCTAAATCATTTAAAATATAAAAAGAACGAGGCCAGGTTCAGTGGCTCAGCCTGTATTCCCAGCACTTTGGGAGGCTGAGGCAAGTGGACTGCCGGAGTCCACAGATTCGAGACCCAACACCTGATTCATCCTTCTTCCTTATACCGTCCATGTCAGGGCAGTCCTGACTTCAGGCTAACTGTTCGTATGGCACTTCCCCATGACTTTCAGACTTGCTATAGGCCCTCTGTTGTATCATAGACTCACCGTACCCCTCGTATTAAACCAGACGGCAAATTTGGCAAGACCTCATCTCTACAATAAATCAAAAAATTAGCTGAGTGTGGTAGCGCACGCCTGTAGTTTCAGCTACTTGGAAGGCTGAGGAGGAAGGATCGCTGGAGCCCAGCAGGTCAAGGCTGCGGTGGCCGGGAGTGTGCCACTGCACTCCAGTCTGGGCGACGGAGTGAGACTCCAACTCAAAATAAATAAATAAATAAGTAAATACAATATAAAAAGAAAGAAATGAAAATTGTGAATCATTTCTCATAGCAAGAGACAATAGTAGCTTGAGACACACAGGAAAGCGGTTTATGATGGGGGCACAGTCAGGGCATATTGACATGGACGTGATCACTGATGCCAGATGGACAGAGAATGGTGTAAGAAGGCATCTGCTGTTTCCTCGTGCAACATCCAGGCCAGTGCACGGCATGGCAGCACCAGGACTCACCGAGCAGTCTCTCGATGTCATCCACAACCACACAGCTGAGCTGGGACTTGTATGCGTCATCGAAGATCTGCAAGGAAGTAGAGCCTTTACTGTCTCGGGATCACCACCTCCATGATCACAACCACTTCCAAGGTGTCTAGTATTAATTCTTGAGCACGACCTAGAGTCACAGCAAAACGCTAGCACTGCAGGCCCAGTAGGTGGTGCCTGACAGTCGGACCAGGGGACAGAAGACAGGCCAAGACTGTCAGCACTGGGGTGTACGGGCCACACCTGGCAGGGGAGGCCTGCCATCACCGTCCCACGGCCAGTCCCATCCCACTGATCACAATGGTCTCTTGCCTCTAGAAGAGCGGGGATAAAGCTGGGTGCCGTCTTATTTATTACCTGTGAGACTTGTGGTCTCTTTAGGCAGAAATAGTCCTGAAGGATCAGAGTCTCATCAACTCCAATCAGACCATAACAGCAAAAGAGTTTACAAGAGAATTAAAATGGAGTACGAAGGATCAGACAGGTGGATGAAAAGCCAGACAAAAGGTAAGAAAGAGTGCACTGTCGTAAGACAGCCAAAGAAACGCAGAGGAAAACAAGCAGGGAAGGAAGTCACTCTACCATGGCAAGGAGGTAGCAATCAAGCAGACAGAAGAATTAGCTTGTGCACACGTTGACTCTGAGTGCCCAAGGCCTTGACACTAGCCTCTTTGGAAACAGAGGTTTCTGTTCTGGAGACCTTGGCGTCATGAGTAAGAATTTCTGTGTCCCAGACCGATCCCTGATGGATAAGTAAACTTAGTGTACCAAGATGGCAAAATCCACCCTGTCTAATGTACGCCTTGCTTGGCATGGCATTATACTCCTTAGTGGCTATCTCTGAACCACAGAAGATTTGGAATAGGAACAGAAGTAAGGTAAATCAGACTCATTATTTTCCATATTAAGTTAAAAAAAACCATGTACTCTTGGTCTTTGAAGTATTCCTAACAATTAAGGAAAGTTACTGGAATAGAGTCTCAGCACCACGATCTTAATCTGGTTCTGTGTTCCATGTTTCCTGGCACAAACACGGACAACACTTTCTCCAGGTATTTAACAAGGCCAGCCCCTCTAGTGGAAAGGTTTCCTCTGCACCAGCCCCTGCAGACCTGCTGCCTTCCCACACTGCCAAGTCCCTACCTGTCCTCCATCCTCAGTTGTCTGCCTCCCCACTGGATGGCAAGGTGGACACAGACCTAACTGTTCACGTTATCCTTAGAGCCAGGACACAAGAATACTCAGTCGTGATGCCTGCTGGATGGCACCAATGGTTAGATCAACGCCAGTTCTACTGCTGCCTTGCCACAGTCCTCGTCTCTCTCCTCTGGCAGAGCATTCCACATACTATGTGTTGTATTACAGACTCACTGTACTCCTCATATTAAACCAGACTGCAAGCCTTCAGAAGGCAAGTACTGGCTTAATTTCCTCTGCATCCTCATGTCACTTAATGCTGTACTGGAAATTCATAAGTATTTACTACAAGAATAGATGTGTTTATTTAAAACTCAAGTGGAAATGTCAAGGACGTAGTTGGAGATGTCTGGCTGAAGTCAGTATGAAAGTCACTCTCAGGGCAGTGGCTGAAGCCAGGACAGGGGTGAGATCTTCAAGGGAAATGACAGAGGCCAAAGAATGAAGAAAGGACTATGTCTGGGGGGACTGCCATGGGTATTCATTCATTCTTTCAACACACATTCTGGAACTTTTTTTTTTTTGAGTTGGAGTCTCACTGTCGCCCAGACTGGAGTGCAGTGGCCGCTCCTGGCCACCGCAGCCTCGACCTGCTGGGCTCCGGTGATCCTTCCGCCTCAGCCTTCCGAGTACCGGAATTACAGGCACGCGCTACCACGCCCGGCTGATTTTTTGATTGATCGTAGAGATGAGGTCTCGCTGCCCAGGCGGGTCTCGAACCCGCGGGCTCAGGTCATCCACTCACCTCAGCCTCCCAAAGGCGTGGGATTACAGGCTGCGCCACCGAGCCTGGCTCATTCTGGAATTCATATTATGGGTACAGCATCAATGAAGGACTCAAGAGTGATGAATTTGACAACGATGACCCTCAGTTCACAGAAGCTAGAGTGGAGTGGGGGAGCAGGCCACAGGTCGTGACGACACGCACAGTGCTATCAGGCGAGGGGAAGCAAGATGGTGTGGGAATGGGGGCTTGGCAGTCACTGGGATCCCACGCATAAGCTGGCTCTCCTTCTGGGCACGTGGCAGGGCAGTATTTCCTCCATGTCCCTGAAAGTAGACACGACCATGGGATCTGCTTTGGCTAATGAGATATGAGTGGAAACACATCACTTCCTAGAAAAGCTTGGAGAGTCACTGCATGAGGTGCCACACTCCTCTTCCTGCCCTGCCTGTCATGGAATTCTGCGAGATGGAGCCTCTGTCAGCTGTCAGTTTGAGGCTCTGAGAAACAACAGTGAACAGAGGTCATCTTCTAAGCCACGGTAGGTAGGCAGTAGTGTGGGTGAGAGGTGCACTTTGTTAAGTCACTGAGATCTGAGGTTGTTCGTTTCTGCAGCGTAACTCAACTCGTGAAGGGACTTGGGACTAAGTATGGTCTCCTACATTTAGAAAGTGGTATTTAAGCTGAGACCAGGATGAGCAAGAGTTAACTGTGGAAAAGTGGGAGGAAAGTACTCTGAGCAGAGTACACCAGATATTAGGAGGCACAGAAGTAAAGACATTTGGGAATGTTCCAGGAATGGACACAGGCCATCAGAGTTACAACACAGCAGTGTTGGTGTCAAGTCGTGGCAAGTGAGATGATAGGGAGAGGTATGGGAGGAACGTAGACATGGAGGGTCTTACAAACCTCACACAAGCTAACATTTTACAGTAAAGGCCATGAGAAGTCACTGAGGGTGCAAAGCAGTGACGGCCCTTCCAGGCTTACGTTTTCTAAATCTTTTCCTGGCTGATAAAGAAGAGCATTAGAGGGGTGCAACAGTTGTTGAGTGTGGAATTCCAGGTGAGGAATGAAGGCGGCCCATGAGGGAGTGTGCTGGACTGTGGACAGTCTAGAGATGTCAATAGGCATCACCGAAGGACTTGGTGAATGGATGGGTGTGAAAAGGAGGGAGACATGGAGGCAGCACCTGCCTAGCAACAGAAATGAAATGCAGAGAAGCTGGTTGGAAAATGGACCATGAGTACACTTAAAGGGCAGGAAGAGAAGAGCTCTGTCTCCTCCCCCTGGGCGGGAAAAAGAAGGCAGAGAAACAGGGAATAAAGGCAGAACAGGGAGAGGCTGGCCACTTCACCTTCTGGATGCACAAGACAGCTAACTACTTCTGGGTGGAGTTGGTACACTCAAGACAACAGAACAGTCTGGAAGCAGTCCCACGGCAGCACTTGGCTACTTTCTGGAAGACTGAACCAATACAGCAGCCAATGTGGTAACTTATAAGCGCAGGTAATTTCAGGGAATCACAAAAGAATGCTTTGTTTTCAAACCATTGATCAGAATCCTACTAGAAGCTCCAATGCAAGAATCTGACTCTGACCATCAGGCTGTGAGATCATGGGCTTGAGTCGGGGGCCTGGACATCACAGCCTCGCTGGCTGCACTGCTCTCCATTTCCCCAACATCAGTCGTTCTCTCTTCTCCAAAAAATGTGGAGCTTCTATTGGTCCAGGATCTTACTCGGGACACTACTGGGGTCTGAGCTATGGTAAATCGCTATGCAGGATGTAGTTTCACCAACTGTCTCGGGCACTATAAGTCACAAAGCATTACAAATCACTTCACAGTTGAAAGCATGGCCCACCTATAAGATACCTACAATTAAAATCAACCGGTTAACATAAAATCATGGGGTTTTTGTGAGGTTTCTTACAGACAGGTCTCAGCACTAATTAATATCAGAGGGGAAGGAGATTCCCAGCAAGCCCCACCAACGTGCCAACCATGACAAGGTCATGCCATTCCAATGGCAAATGGACTGATTTCAGGTAAGCCGTCAACTGGAGCTCTCGGGTAGCTGATGTCAGTGCTCAATACACACCCCTTTCACGTCCTTCCACACATTCTCTTCCTCATCCACTCAAGTGTCACCCAGGTCACTCTCCTCCCTGGACCCATGACTTCTGCCTGGTATCCTAGGTCCTGCCCTCTGGCCTCCCTGACCCAGGCTTGCCAGGATGCTCACTGTATCAGCTGCTAGATTGAAGTCTATGGGAGATACTTACGTCCTGAGCCGGGAAGTCAGACCACAGCTTTAGGAAAATAAACCAGGAAGGGCGAAAGGGCCAGGAGGCGAGATGTAGGAAGAGCAGAATTGTGTGAACAGCCCCAGGCAGAGCAGCACGACTGACATGCCAGCCCCCTTGCCATCCCCCAGCAGCACACAGTGCCCGTGACAGGCAGTGGAAGGGCAACGCAGGGAGGACAAGGGCTGCATCTCACACTCTTGAAACACAGTCCAAGGAACGGAGGAGTGGAGTCTTGTCAGGAGCTGCCTGCAGGGCAGGTGCAACTGTCAGCATATACACAGGTCTCAGGGGCAGGCGAGACGTCCACAGAGAGGCCAAGGGAAGAAACAGGACGCAGTCTTGGAGGAAGGATGTGGGAAAGAGGCCACGGATGGCAGAGCCCTAGAGAAGCTGCCTCGGCTGAAGGGGAGGCACACTCAGGACAGACGCCAGGGTTGACTTCCAGCTGTGCACACTGCGCGTCACCAGCAACCCCTCACATGCAGAGGGGACAGCATGACACAGGCTGGAGGGTCCTGAGGCAGCGCAGAATGCAGGCCGCCTCCAGCACACAGGAGCCAGGGGCAAGCCTGGGGGTGGCGCTGACGCTCGTGGGAGCCCCTCCTGGGACCTGGGGCCCATCAGGGAGCCACTTGTGTGTGGAGGAGTCTATGCAAGCACAGATGGGAACTCGCCAGCACCATGAAATGGCCTTCGGAATCCCAAGCTGTGGCAGGCATGTGATGTCCTGCGTGCTCTTGGCAAGGAGGTCACGCACCCAGGCTCTCCGGGCTGGAGGCGCTCCTCTCAGGCTGAAGCGCTGGCATG